AAGCAATACATAGTGCAACGTATACACGAAATTGCACAGTTTTGTTTGAGCCTCAAAGTCTGTTTTGATGTTCTTTGGACATTTTGTTCGATTAGCCTCCTTGCCAAGAAGTCTCCGGCAGGTCGAAGCACTTTGCAAGAAGTTCGCGATTGAAGAGAAGTGTCTCCGGCGGAACAGGGTATTTCTGAACAGCTTTATGTGCGCCAAGTTTACTAGCCCATAGTGCTGGAGACTATCCACAGTAGGGTCAGTGGATGTGGTCTATGTTTGCTTGAAGTTCTTAGATGAATTGCACAAGTCTTCCTCAGCACTTCCTGACCACGTCCACGCTGCATCTGGAACGCATTGTTGCAAGGATTGTGCGGCGGTTAGACGATGTGATGCGAACCAGAGAGGATTCCTTCGAAACTGACCTCAAGGCTCTCTATGAGGCCATACCTTTTGCAGAATGGTGCAAATGGATGAAACCCCCTTCATCTCTGAACAAAAAGCAGAAAGACCTCTCGCCAGCTTTGGACACTGCTTCAGGCAATGCCCAAAAAGAAGAGGATCAACATCATGTTCATGCCTTTTCAAGTGCAAGAAACCTGTCACCGATCAAACGATTCAGTAGAGGAAGCTACTAGGAGCAAAGGGCATCGCTACTAGGAGCAAGAAGCTACTAGGGGCTCCTGGCCTTGCTACTAGGAGCAAGGATGCTACTACTAGCAAGGGCATCGCTACTAGGGGCTCCTGGCATCGCTACTAGGAGCATTCTTACTACTAGGAGCGATCGGACGCTACGAACGGAGCTTTTGCTGATTTTTGTTCCTTCGTTCCGCTGGTTCGCCAGGTTTGTGAGTCGGCGAAGAAGCCATCGGGATCCCTGATGGCCAGGGACTTGCTGCACATCGGTGTTGGGAGGGACGACCTCCGGAGCCTGGTTGGTGGTCCATGTCAGCCATCCAATGGGGTTGGTTGGTGGATGTTTGTGGTCCATTTTTTCCTTCTACCAGTTGGGGGTGGTGGGAAGGAACTTCACTGAAGTGAAGTGGACTTGTTCATCTCGTGGTGGTGCTGTAAGCGTAGGTTTCAAAACTTTGTGCTCTACAGCCATGAACTTGTAAACTGGAACAAACAAAGCACACTAATATACAATATATTTACATATACAAGTGAAATCTGAATCTGAATCAGAACGCAGCATCAACAGTCTGTGGCCCGTCCAATTTTTTGCCGTCGTCCCCCTGCAAGGTTTTTAGTCTTTCTTTAGCAAGCCAGATGAGACCTGAGGCCAATTCAGAGATATTATCACAACCCCCCTCCCCCATTACGTTAAGAGAAGATAATTTAGCGCTAAGTTGGCCCTTACAGTTAGGTCTCGCTGGTGCTCAGCTGTGCCAAGTCGCCGAGCAGTGAGCAGTAGCATCGATAACGGAACGTTTTGAGTTGGTCGTTGATTTATTGAACCAGGATTAGATAGAGTGACGCACGAGCTTGCAACCGATTGCCCGAACTTTCGTTTGCCGCCGCCCCTTGGCCTTTTACAATCATTACAAGTCATCTGATCATTCTGCAAAACAGTACTCTTGCCAAGTCGATGCGTTTCTGGACAGAGATGTATGCCCAGAAAGGTTGGATTTATGTGTTGCATCACAATGGGAGTCGTTTGAGTCGAGGTGAAGATCGGTGAGCTCGAACGGGGTTGCTTCACAGGACGAGTGTCGGTTTCTGCGACTCACCCAGACTGGGCGAAGCAAGAAGGAAGGTTGAGCCAGGAAGGTTGGCGAACAACAGCTTTCCCAACTCCTCCTTGCAATGATTTGTCACTGAAGCACAACTTGGTTGGTCCCCCCATGCAGGAACAAGATACAGCGAGACAAATGGAACACAAATGCATGGTAAGCACGAAAGCGAGAAACTGAGGGCTTGGCGGCTTGGCGGAACAAAGAAAACAACACCCGTGGCAATTGCGATGATTTGCTTAGCAAATTAGACAGTTAGGTCAATTACGATTTTTAAAATGTGGGGTGTCGTCAAGACAAACAATGACTCATTCCGAGTTTTCTTTGTGCTGGTTTAGAGTGTTCCGCGGAAAAGAAAACAAACAAACAAATCATGCAGCAGGAAGAACACCGATTGTTTCTGCATTTCCTTTAGATTGGTTTTACTTAGTTGGAGCTTGAACCTGATCTAACAAGTATGCCCACGGACGCCTTTGCTTTCGCAGTGTAGGCAGGGCATAGGGATTCAGACAACCGGCAGGAGCAGGCAAGTTGGATCAGTGCATGCTCACCTTCAGGAGTGTCTGTCCGTGCGCAAAGTGCTGTTTTGAAGTTTAGGAAGACCATGTCCACCCGAACGACTGGCAGTTTCTGTTTGTGGATCACTTGTTGCATGTTCTCTATTCGTTCACTTTTCAAATCCTCTTCTTTTTCTGCTGGAGCTTCCTAAGTAGTGTTCTGACATCCACAATTGAATGATGTGCACTAACATCCTTGCTGGAGAGTGGATCAACATGCATCAATCACATATATAATTAGATCATGCACGACAGAGGGTACAATACCATTATTTATTGTCCATGACGAACTGGCAGGAGCAAGTACAAGCTGGATGACCGAGCTCATGCCAGGCACTGGAAGAAAAGGGGAGATTCTTGCGAAATGCAGCGAGCTCCGCAGAAGAGATTCTTTCAAGAGCAAGAAGATTCTTTTTGGTGTTTCATTTTGCACCTGTAGTACGTAAGCTTTGCATTTCAGTCAGGAGGAAGTCTAGACTTGTTCGATGCTGTGGTTCGCCACGGTGAAGCCGGCGCGGCCTGGCATCCGATGCGACCGGTGAAGCTCCCCGACCTGTGAAGCTCTCCGCAGGTTCGTGGAGGTGTGTCACCCTCGGAGCCAAAAGTTGGAGGACATCCGACAACTGGCACCATGGCACAAACCAGAAGACCGGGGTGGTAGACAGGTAGGTGGATCTTTCTGCCATATAGTCTAGAAAAGGTCAGGTAGAAATGACCACGATCATCCTTGCTGCTAAGCACATTTCAGCCTTCTTTGTTGGCTCGTTAACATTCTATGGTTTGATTGTTCCACTTGCTTCGTTCTGTCAAAGCAACAAGTGCTGCTAACGGCCATATCTGGCTCTCTGCCTCCGAGGAAAAGTATCTCAAGAACTTACCCAACCCATCGCAGGCGCAAAAGTTTATTGCGTTTGAAGGGTTTGCTCGGACTGTGGCCGGTTTTGAAGCCTCACATTGAACCCCCAATGAATTTTTGGCCACAGCCCCTCCCTGCTGGCAGGCTATCCTTCCACTTCTTACAAGAATTGAGCAGCATTGTCTGCATTAGTACTGGAGTAGGTATGAAGGGCTGCGCTCCTGTGGGGTTGCGTTGTCGGCCAGGACTGAAGCTTGAGGGGTGTCATCATGGAATCATGGGTGCAGTGTGAAACTGACTCGTCTTTGGACCCGCCAGAGCTATTTTCAGTTTCCAACTCAGGAAGGATGGCCGCTTGGCCAGCCCAGAAAGAAGTAAAGATCGGGACAAAGACCGTGCAGGTGGCCGATCATCCGATCGTCAGACGAGCAAGACGCACACTTCTTTTCTCAAGCAAACGCCCAAAACAAGGCAAGCTGCCTGATTGGGGCGTTGTTTTGGCGTATGACCCTGGTATGACCCAACAGTGTCATCCAGCTTGTTCACGCATGCCGATTCAGCTGACTCAGCAATCACTCTGACTGAACCCTGAAGTCACTGCGATTGTTTTGCCAAGATGAGATTCCAAGAACACCCTGTAGCTAGAGGATGCAGAAGAGGACCTCTATAGGTCAGAAAAATCAGCTTCGAAATGACGGTTTTCGCAAGGCCGACGCCACGAAAGCCGATCTCGCTCCCGGAAAAAGAAATCTCGATCCAAGTCAGGAGCTCGATCCCGGGGTGTCGATCCAAGTGGCACGACTGGGTGTTCTGGTGGTCACTTTCGCAGCTGGTTTTGTTGTGGTGATCCTTTTGAGTTGATGGTTGGTGATCCTTTTTGAGTTGATGCACTCAGCTTGTGTGTTTGGACCGAACTATATACAGCAAGTTATCAGTTCACTAAGTTCATTAGACTTGCTTGAGGAATTTTGTGTTGTAGGTTATACTTGGCATATTCATTTCCCTACAATTTCTACACTACTACCCAGAAGCCTTTGATACTCCGCGGTTAGAACTAGAATGCATACTGTTACGTACCCGTGGGAACAGCTCCAAAACTTCTCAACGTGGATTGGTCGCCCGGTCTTGCCCAGGTCTCGGAAGGCTTCTCGCTCCAGGTCGCGATCAAAATCTTGAGGGAGCTACTCCGATGGTAGAGTTGGGTTTACGGGCAAGATCTCAGAAGGATCTCTATCATTTGATTTTTCTTACTATTTCCCTCCCTCTCTCTCTCTCACTCTCACTCTGTCTCTCTCGTGCCCTGTCTTGGCTCCACCTTCTTTCCGACGAAATTGAAATAACACACCTTTGCCCTGGATCCAAGACAGATGTCCTGGTTTGGATCTTCCACTGAATTTCTGCTAGTTTTGATCTTCAGGTGCCTTGGACTCCTTGGACTTGTATTCTGAATCGATTTGAACGACTCCTGTGCCAACTGAGGCAGGCTGGCATCGTCTCAGACCCCGCCTTCAGCCGCTGAAGGGGCCAACGTGCCAGTCGAAGAGCAACGTGCCAGAGTTGCGAAGAACCAAAAACGTTGCGAAGAAAGTGCTGAACTCACCATGTCTCACTTTTGCCGACACGTTTACCAGCACTTCCAGATGGTCAACGTGTCGACAGCTTTTTCATATCACAGGACAAGGCTTTTTTTGAATGAATGTCACTGGGTAGAGAGTATGGTTTCACGGCTTGCTCTACCAAGCAGCTTGGTGAACACTCTGACACTCCCGCGTGGACACTTGCTTTTTTTTTTCTCCTGCTCCGGTTCTGGTCCTGTACTTGCTGTGGTTTCAACATGTTTCAACCACCGAAATCGGATCGCAGGAAGTTCTTGGAGGCTGCTTCCAAGTACTGCGACCTCTCGCAGCAGACCTTTGGCGGTCAGATTTGTGAGGCGGACCGTCCCACCGGTTCAAGGGCAGCTAAAAGGAAGTTCACAAGCAGCCACCAGCCGAAGGTCCGAAGGTCTGCGACTATAGCGTCCTCCACAAACAGGTGGTTTTCAGGTTCCACGTGAAGTTTCCAGGGTGCAATTCCAACTGAAAGTCTTTTGACACCAAGCAGAATCAACAGAGTTCGCAAGACGTCCTGGCCGACTTAATTAAGCTCTTTGCAGTCTTTAAATCCTCTTGTCAGGATTGGTGTGCCCAGCGGTTTTCTATGGTATGATATTTTTTTTGTTTCAAAGGAGAATCGACCCAAACTTGGCCCATTCGAGGCTGACCTCCTGCAATTGCTGAAGTGCGCCGAAGCCTCAAAACATGTGGTGAAAATCAAGCCATGATGTGTCGTTTGGTTCTTTTTGTTTTAGATATGCGGGGTCGAACTACCGTAGATTCTCCGTAGATGGACGAAATAATCAAATCCTTGACCACATACACTTCCGACTTCCCCCCTCCCCCAAAGCTCAATGTTGACACTATTCCCGGAGACTAGGGCCGAATGGACGAAACTATATAATCAACCCCCAAGGTACCAAAAACATGTTGAACTTGTAACGTAGAGATTTGGAGTGCGGGGTTCATGGAGACAACATGATGTTCTGGGGTTTGATTATTTTGTCCATCTACTGTAATTATCCCCTCCAAAGCCTATGCTCAGAGAGTGGAAAGTCAATGTTTGTACACAAGATCTCTCTTGTGCAATTATGCCATCCTTCATAAACGGTTCTCCTTCACGAGAAGATTCTCTTCTTTAAAAGCTCTCCATCCCAAAGTTCTTGTAAGACGTTCTTCTATTCTGAACATTTGTCCTTTCTCAAATCTCCTACTGTATTGGTTGACATGAATCCTTCAAACAGAGCCAAATTTCCGAATGCTTGTTGCATTTCCTGGTGTTAGATCCGGATTAACATGCACATGTTGGCTTGAAGAAGCTTGGGGTAAACAGTCTGCTTTCAATGCTTCCTTTAAAGCTACAGTATCCTCTTTAGTCTGAAGTCGCCACATCTAAAGATTTCCTTTTTCATGCAAGACTGACAAAGACACCTAACGTTGGCCTCTCTTTACAAGAGCTTATGCTGTTTGTATAAAGTGTGTTTTGATGTTCAATCCCATCCTTTATCCACAGCTCATCCTTATACAAATGCCCCTCCCTTGCAAAGAATGCTCTTTTCTTTAAATGTATAATCATCTATTTTCTTCATTAATGATTCTTCCTTTTATGAGCACCTCACCCTGTACGAGCGCATCATCCCAATTGTAAACACTCCTTCATTCCTTTGTTCAATGTTTTTTTGAATAAATCGTGGAACGATGTTTATGCAAATGAAGGTGTATAATCTAGATGTGTCAAGCGATTCGATTTTGCACCAAAAGGACATGTCATATCTGGTTTTCTCAGTCCGGTTGACCCTGCACATGGTTTCAAGAAGTGGATATCGAAGTGAAGTTATGCAGAGACCACCCACTTTCCTGAAGAATTAAGCATGACGAGTTGTAGTCGTAGGCACCTGTTCCTCATGCATTTTCCTGGACACTGGACCCACACAAACAGTACGATGGAATCACGCCTTTTTTTCCAGAACTTCACAGAAACAATCTATCTGGGATTCTAGGTTGTTAAGGAGAATCGACGGTGTCTGCAAGGTCTACCCAAGTTGTGATCTGACGTGTACCAGAGAATTCACTCTAAAGGCCCGATTGGAAGTTTCGGAGGAATGCAGTCAGCAAGGTCTAGCCAATGGCGGCACGGTGCCCGACCTGAGTCAACAGAACCCGGGAACGACGGTCCAGTGAGGCCGTGACCTGTGCCATTCTGGCGCCTGCGGGGCCTCAGCGCTCCAGGAGACGGCGTCTTTCGATGAGAACCAATTCAAATAGGTCAACAGGAGGATTCAAATGATGGATGATTTCCAAAACAATGTCAAAACAATGTCAAAACACGTTTTGATGAGATCAACACCACTTTAGCATGCTTTTGGTTTGAAGATCATTTTGGAAGACGCCGGGAGGCTCCACACAGTACTTCACGATGCTTTTTGATGAGAGTGTGCTTTGATCAAGCTGATTTGGGATAGGGATGTCATCCCTGCAGGATACTAGCCTCTCTTTGCAAGGACGAGAGGCCAACATGGGAATTGGGGTCATTGCATCTGCAGAGTGCATTTTGTGAAGTAGTACAGTGCTGTTTGCCACTCAACTCAGGACCACACCCCCACTTTGAAAGTATCACAGCCAGCAGCAAAAAGGCTTGAATGCTGCCAACGAACTGAATGTTGTTGCAGCTAATCTCGTCCTCATTTGGACATCGACTGCTTCCTGAATGATAGCAGAGCATATCCAGTGCCCAACCAAAGTAGACGACAATGTGGACCTGACCATCTCCTTGTTTGGCCTTCATGATCTCTCAGCATAAACGGTATAAGCGTTTGGAGCTGAGGTGTCTCCTCTCTTGGCGTTACATTGGCCATTGGTGTACAAGTCACGCCTTGTCATGCCTTCGAATCATAGAGAACTTCAGACAGGACAATCTTTTGTAGACACACAGACAGTGTTGTCAGCACCTCAGAACAACGCTTATCATGCCATTGTCTTCATCTCTTTACAACAACAGTTGGGTGAATCGGGCGGTGACGAAGAGATGGTTGGCACAACCTGGGCGCAGGATTCGAGCCGTTGAGCACTTTGAGATCCTCCAAAAAATGTTTATGGCACGAGCCTTGGTCATCACAGCTGGGCATATGGTGGAATTGGCGATCGTTTTTGAGAAGATGGAGAGATCGCTCATTTATGGTCTTCAGTTGAACATCGGCCTTCAGTTGGCATCGCTTTTTGTGTTCGCCAATCAGGAGCGCCTGATCCGGGGCTCAGAGGCAGTGTCGATTGATGAATGCATACGAGAATGCTTGGACAGCGAAGAAGGGATGTGACAGCCTAGCGGGACTAGCTGATTATTATGGATTTTTGTTGTTACTATGATTATCAATACTATTTCTATTACTATTTACTGAATATATATTAATATGCTTTTACAGCGATGCTCTTTACAAGTCTAACTGTCACGCCCTGTTCAGACTTTACACCCCAATGTAGCTCGAAATAGCTTAGCACGCCATTAGTCGTCTGGTCCGTGTGACCGGTGAAGACGGTCATGGACCACCGTGGTCGCTGACTGACCTTGGCAGGTGCATAAATTTGAGGACAGTTTGCTGCCACATCAGAAGGCTTGGTGCTTTTCGGATTGGATCTTTGCAGATTAGCAGAGAGGGGGTAAATCTAAATGGTTCAGGACATTTTCTGAACTAATTCAGGCCACTGGTCCTGATGGCTCAACTGTCCTTGAAAGGGCAGTGTCAGATCCTGAGATGATCCAACGTGTCTCTAGCATAAAACTTCTGGACTCCTGGAAGCGGACATCCACTCTTTTTTTGTTGCACACCTGGGTTCCAAGTGCCTACTAGTGGTGCTTTGTTGTCGTGCATCTGAGCATGAGACACACACAGTACATCACAGTAATTACTAGGTTTTGTTAAAGAAGCGTTGGGAGCCTCAACAAATTGCAGACTTCCAGCTGAGGCTGCAGCACAACGTCCTTGCGGCCTCACGGGTCGGCTGAAGCAAAGAATTGGACGTGAAGTTTCGGTTCATGAGTTCACGTGAACTCGTATTTCTTGGGAGGAAATGATTGGTATTCATTTGACTATGTGTCAGGTCATAGTAATTGATATTCTCGAGTCTCGAGGACGACGGAAGACTCTACTTCATGGAATGCAGATGCCCAGAAAGGGAGACACGGGCAAGACCGACTTTGATGGAATTTGCTGCAAAGCACGCTTTTCTTGGGAGGTCAAATACAAAGACATGTTCAACATGTTCGTTCTGCTCCCATCCACCAAATGCTACTCTTGCCACGCTCATACGCTCGCTATTATCAGGCCCCCGCTACGTAGCTTCGTGATACAGGCCCTACACAGAATCAGCCAACACCGATGTGAGTTCTGTTTCGTTCTCTCGAACATTCTTGTTAACTGAGTCCTAGGTCTACAAGAACATGCGCCTCCCACAACTGGGGCATTTGCTGGAGGCCGTTTGTCGACGGGTGTCTCACGGTCTCCAAATCACGTCTCGAGAGTGACGGTGAAACGCCGGGGCGAAGGTCAAACGCTAGCGCGTGCCGCGCGAGTGGGACTCTCCTTTGAGGGCAGACAGCTTGGCAAGGGGATGTGATTCTCTTCCAATCTCATTGAGTGTAGGATATTTGTAATGCTAGTTCATGATGCCAGGTCGCTCCTGAGAATGCCGAAAAGATCGCTGCCAAGATGATTGTTTGGAGCTTGGACGATCCCTGATGCTTGGTGAAGCCAAGCGGTTTCACATGAAAAGAACGGAATCGGCTGGCTTGCCAAACAGAGCCGACAGAAACTGAGAAGCCAAACAGGCACAGCCACGTGATGTTTCTCCAAGGCAGAAAAAAGATTAGCTGGTTTCATTGACCAAAAGAGTGGCGTGATCCACTTTGAAGGCTCGACCACGATTTTTGGACTTCACGACAGTGGTTCGTGGTTCACGAATGTTCACGAAAGAGCGGTTCGAGATGAGGCTGTGCGATGTTTGGATCAGGCAAAGCGACAAACCCACGAGCCTTTTGGTTGAAAGTTGATGTCCTGTTTTTTGACATTGGTGACACCATGTCAGTGCTTGTGGCCCTTGTGGCATGGGAAGAAACACCTGTCCCACCGCAGGTGGCGGCGATGATTTGCAACAGTGGGACAGACACATCAGGCGAGGAGTTGGGAGTCAGGCGCGTTGCAAACTGAAGAGGATCGAACGGAGCGTGAAACTTGGTGCTCCTACGGTCCTCATCAATCTATGATCTTCAAGAAGAGTAGGACCTGGCAGCAAGAAAGCTTCATTCACAGAAGCCTTGAACACTTACCTTTGTGCAACCTCTCCTGGTTGTCATTGCGGCTGTGAGATGCAGTGATTCCAAACTCAACTAAGCCAACGCAAGGGAAGAGTTGCCAAATCAAGACCCCTGTTTTCTTCGGTGACCGCTGCTCCTGAACCTGGGAGTCTTCAAGTGGTGCCATCCATGGCTGGACTCAGGGGGAGCACCCCCGAGGACGAAAGGCGTAGGCTTGAGACAGTTTTGGGGATTCATTTGGTTCATAGTCTTGTAAGTTCTGTCTAATATACCTAAGCTTTGGTACAAGGGGTCAGCCTTTTTCTCCCAAGAAGTCCGGGACAGTTTTGAGCATTTGCAAGGCCAGGATGGCCAGGCCCTTGCTCCGTTCTGCCCAGGAATGTGTGTACACAGGTCAATTCCGTCTTGTCCAAAATCAAAGACCAGTCAGCCATGAAGGACTGCGGGAATCGACTGGATGTGCAAAACAAAGGGGCGACTATATCAGATGCTTTAATTGAATGCACAGAATGCATCATTCGCATGCTGCCTCCATTGCCACCAGCTGGAGGATGGATAGCATCATGCTTGACGCTCAACGACTTGGGAGTCATGATGGCCGATTCGGATCAGTCACGCGCAGCCGGAACCGGCCACATTGTTGAAAGGCCCCAGGCAACGACTTCTAAACAGGTTCCAAACGATATTATGTGTATATCATTATTTATATGATATAGTCATAGTGCTGTTGAGTGTTGTTCTATATAGCTTCCTGGCCCAGTGGCCACATTCAAGTGAACATGGTCTGAGGCGCTGACTTCTGCCGTGGTCGTGAGCAATGGGCCATGCATACATGGACACCTCAAGAAACAAAGAATGTTCACCACATGCACGCACCCTTGCAGATATATCTCGAGCTCTGAATGGTCGCACGATGATTCCTCTTAATATGCAGGTGAACGATAAGTCTATCAGGGTTCTGAAGATGCCCGTGCTGGACCCGTTGCTGGTGTATTTCACTATATTTGACCCTCCAAAGTGGTAGCTTCCATGACAACCTAAGCAGAGAAACAAAGTCTCATTGTATGTCTTCAGTTTCACCGCTGTAGGACGCGTTTGGGCCCGCGCGGTAGGCCCATGGTGGGCATGGGGAATTGGACTCCGACCAAAAAGGTACTTCCAAAAAGGCCTTGAGGACCGTCGAGGATGTGAAACATGGCTTCTTAAGATGTTTCTTTGCATCATTTGGTTTCGAATTAATAGGGTTTAATAGGGACAGATTTTGACCAATCAGTTCTGAAGAGGGTTGCAGTGATGGTGATGGCTGCCGATATGTCAAGCTATCACACAAGCTTTCCGACATTATGTTTTCAACGGTTTAATGCTGGCCTGCGGCAACATGCTTTGAACGTGGAATACGGAATATAACAATATTTGCTGCCCACCCACAGCCCTGACAAAATTGCATCCATTCCTCCAACCACAGCCAAGAATTGACCATAATGCACTTAGACTCCAATTCATGGGAGTGGTATCGATGAGGTCCAGTTGCGAATAAACTTGGACTGAACCACATCAGACTAAGCTTGAAGCCGTAGGTGTACTGGGGCGGACTGAACTGTTTGGAGCTTCCATGAGGTGTAAAAGCGTCGAGCCTTGAAAGCGACATCTCTGGTGTAATAGGTGTTGCCAGAAATGCTACAGAGAACCTCCCCTCCATCAAGATGGGGGTACTTTTCCAGATTGTGTGCTGTTTGCCGTTTGTCGAATTGCGATGGTTTCCCGATGCCTCCCGCAGTTTTTATGCTCGAGAAGTGGCTGATGGGCAGAGATCCGAATCAAGGATTCGCATCGGGAAGTATGAAGGACATCTCTCGCGTGGGGCGTTCCATCCAGTCCTTAGGATTGGAACCTCCGAATGCTCGTCTGTTACGGAAGATCAGGGAGCAATACACGGACGGGCAGCGGATTCTCAAGCCGCTTGCCGATTCGGGACACTCCAACTGGAGTTCTGGACAGCCCACCGAAGCCAAGGAGCAAGCTGGGAGTAAATTCTCCTGTGCTTGTGAGCTCACGGCTGACTGAATACATGGGTGCTCTAAATGACTCGCTGAAGCAAGGAGGTCAGTGAAAGTCATCAGGGACTTCCTACATAACAATGCATAAGCCTTGAAGCCTGCACTTCTCAACTGAAAAGCGTCTTGTAGAGTCCCAAGACAGCCGCTATTGACATGCTAGTAGTGCTGTTGTCTCATGAGGCAGAGAACGCATCGCTTCCTGCAGGGCTGTTGATATTGCCGGTCCAGACATGCTCTTATAGACCAATGTCAGCGAGCATTTTCTCCTTGGTTCTCACTTGTTTCTGCAAAGTTGTGAATGCATTCATACTCATTTCTTTGCTGCTTTCTATCGGTTTGAGAGCAAACTGACTTCAGAGCCCTTAACGCACGCCCAAACAAAACAGTAGGGCCTCGGTGTTAGGTCACCAAAACGCAGGTCAACTGACAACGTATTCGTGTCCCATGCTTCAGCAAAATGATGGCAGGCATAGCTTGCGTAGCGAGCCTCTCTCCAAGCGATCGTTGCACCGTCTTCAATTTGTTGATGTTTGTGCGACAATCCGCCAGCTTTCATCATGCTTGAGAGGTTGTGCTTTGCCCGACCCGGAACTTTGTGGAGCCTCTTTGTTTGCAAAGCTTCTCAATGAAAGACACGTATTTTCCCGGTTTGCCCCAATAGTCAGGATTGGGTACCTGCTCCACTAACAAGTCACTGGAGAGCAACATGCTCACTTACCTTGCAACTGAATGTGGAGCTAAAGCGTGATAGCCACATGCCATTGTTATTGGCTGGTGCAAAGCCACCCAAAACCTCTCCACAGAGACGTCCTCCTTTTTGGAGGTGCTCATGTTCAGCACCTCCAAAATTCAAGTCAAAGCAAAAAACGCCAAGTGAAGCAGTGATACATACGTGGCAGACGGTGGGTTCAGAGAATGGGTGCCGAGAAGACCGGCAAAGGGTCTACATTGGGCTGCACATGCGAGCTGCGATCCTTTATGTTGGTGTGCCAAGCTGCCAATCTAAGACATCATCCTAATCCTAGGACTTTTTCAGTCTTTTTCATGACCCAGAACAAAACTTTTGAGGGCAAAGGACCATGGTGAATGGCTAGCTAGAATATTTGTTCAAGCCAGACGGAGCAAGCCCAAAAGCATCATCGTTAGTCACCTTCATTTGGGCTTCCACAAGGTGCCAGTGGAGAAACCTTGGGCAACTGTCCTTTTTCAAAGGCGTTGTGCTTTTTCCCCAACAGCGAAGGAAGCTTAGGTGTTTTTGAGTGGTAATTAGTAAAGACATTGGAGCAGATCGGAGCAGGTTCGGGAGCAAGTTCCGGAGCAAAGGTTCCGGAGCAGGTCCCGGAGCAAGCTCCTGAGCAGGTTCCTGAGAAAGTTCTGGAGGTCGCGCAGCAAGCTACTGGGCAAGTTTCGGAGGAAGTTCGGAGCAAGCTCCTGAGCAAGTTCCAGAGCAAAGTGCAGGTTCTGGAGCAAGTTCCGGAGAGCAAGTTCCGGAGCTCGTTCTTCCGGAGCAATTTCCGGAGCAGGTTCTTCCGGAGCAAGTTCCAGAGCAGGTTCCAGAGCAGGTTCCGGAGCAGGTTCTGGAGGAGGTTCTTGAGCTGGTCCGTGAGCTGGTTCCGGAGCAAGCTCCTTTTCTCCAGTGCAGGTTCAAGAGCAGGTTCTGGAGAAGGTTCCGGAGCAGGATTCGGACAAGGCTCCAGAGTTTTGGAATCAGGAGCGGCTTCCCAGGAGCGCTTGGTAGATATGATGAGACTCTGTTTTGACAATGTTGGCTGACACGTCATGATGCTGCTGCTGCATGCTGTTTTGCTAACCTGCTAACATGATCTAACATGTTATTCTTCTGACACAGTAAGGTGTGTTGCCCCGCCAAAAAGCTGAGATGGTGTCATGTTAGTGTGGTGTGTATTTAGTATGCTGTCGCGCAGGCGTGCAGACACGTGATTCATATGTGTCCCGGATGAGGCTCTGAGGGCTTTGCTTCTGGTGGTGTTGGAATGCTTACACAATCTTACACATATTCGAGCACATGCGCTACACTGAGGTATTGATAATGGTAAAAATGTGTTTGCACGGCACACTGAAAAGGTTCACACTTGTTTAACAAAACCGCACCACGTGTCAATAAATTTGCAAGATGTTGGACGTTTTTGACGGGTACCTTATGTTGCCATTGTTTAATCATGTTCAATCACCAAATTCACTCCCAGCTGTTGGGGATTTTCCTATGCTTATTCATTTGCCTGAGTCCAGCTGTGGACACATGGATGAACGGCGGTCCATGGATTCTGCAAGCGTTGAAGCCGACGGAAAACCAGTTGATGCGATAAGGACTTTCTTTGCCACGCCGCGTCGTACAATTTCTAAGTGTCGTTGGCTTCAGCAATTGCATGCCGACAGTATAGTTTTTTGGGAGTTACGTCATTTTGTTCTTTTGGCCGACACAGGTACAGATGGTGCTGCAATTTCGATAAGACCATTCCTTGCGTTCGGAAGGTCTGGCTGTGTAGATATATTGGCTGACGGCCTTCCAGCATTGCATTCCATCTGAAGGTCCAAAAGGCTTTCAAGATTCTTGAGCCATGGAGTGGCGCATTGAAAATGAGTGCTGGGTGTAACCACTGTAACGGATGGACGGCAGGGCAGCATTGAATGTGTGTGTGTGACACCCTTGGAGTCACAGGGATTCCGTTGAATTTGTTCTC